CATTTGCTTTACATCTTGTACAATTTGCTGGGCTATTGGTGAATTGTCATTCCTCAATATTTACTGGACTCTCTTTTTACATATATTGGCTTATAAAGTGCACAAGCTTACAGACTTATTCTGTAGAATTACAACCAATATTAGATTGCATCCTTCTATGCAGCGCTTTCGGATCTTATCTTGCATATTAAATGTTATTAGCAAAGGCTGAGTGAATAATATGATATGCAGTGTTACTCTGACCTGCTTATACACTTGCATAATGGTTTTTTTTGTATACTTAGTTGACTTGCTTGGAAGAAAAATTTAGCATGTTCTCTCCTTATATATGATCTTAATATATGTATTTTCTGTTAGCTTGATTTATTCAAACTTTATGAGATGAATAACTAATTAAAATTATTAAATCTGAGCACTGCATTTCATTGTCAATATTTGCTTATTTCTTCAGAGTAGCATCTCTTGCCCCTACTCATTCAATCCAATAGTGTACAGCATGCTTCTGAAAGCATGATTGTAGCACAAAATCTGACTGGCAATCTGGCATAGATGCGCAAGCTTAGTCTTCGTTATGAAAGGCATAAATACCATTTTCTGCTAAAGGAAACAAGCAAACTAGTATTCTTTATTTATTATTTCTATATTTCAGACAACCTGGCATATTTAGCTTTTTATGTTTTTATTATGTTTATGTAGTTGTGATCAAAACTTGAGCCTACTGATGTAACTTTCTCTATAATGGTAGCCACGGTTGAAAACTAAAATGATTTAGGATATAGAAATCTCCCTCCCTCCCTCCCTCCCTCCATAATGGTGAAGGAAAACACGAGTCTGTTGTTAGTTGTTACTATGTGCTATGAGGTCTATAGATTCTTTTGCTTGTTCTTTTTGTTGCTATGAGGTCTGTTTATTTAAATATGTTTCCTTGGCTATAACAATTGTCTGAATGAAAGGTTCTTGATTTTCTTGATTCATTCAAAGGCTGTAGTAAAAATAGTTTGTTTCTATTACAAGATCATGACAACAGTTTATTATTTTATGCATTTAGAAACTTAGCCATTTTGAGTAGCTAAAGTAATGACCTTAATGGCAGGCATCATTGTTCGTAATACACTTGTGACCTATGACCGTCACAATGAAAAGATTGGCTTTTGGAAAACTAACTGTTCAGAGTTGTGGGAGAGGCTACATATCGGTGACGCTCCTTCACCAGCCCCTTCAAGTGACACAAATTCAGAAACTGATATGTCACCTGCTCCTGCCCCTAGTAGCTTGCCAGGTTTGTGCCTAATTATTTTAATTTCTATTAATTTCACATGTATTATATGATGAATGACAAAACATGGATATTTGTTATATTTCACTTGTAACTATCAGTTAGGCATCGATTGTTTTGATCTGCTTTGTTGGTGGCTGTTTTGGTAGTTATGAATATGAAGCTTGATAGGGCTGTAGTTTTTATATGAAATGAGGCAAACAATCGATCTGCCTCTCTTGAAGGTCCTTTAAGCCGCAATTCGACCCATGCTTTACTCATTTTTTTGTTTACCTACTTAGTTCTTTGAGTTTGATGGTACATTCACCAGTCTTTATGGCTTGCACAATAATCTGGTCCACATTTCATATGCCTATAGTAATTTTGTTAATAACCAGGCCGATTACTGTAAGCTAAAGCAATAAGTAAATATTTTCTTAATTGGTGTTTGTTATTTTTTTTGTCAACAATAGCACACTTTATTTTTATGTAGTTTAAATAAATATTATTGTTCTGGATAGGAGCAATGGACTGTGCCAATGCCCACTACTTTTCCTTAGTGCCCTATATTTCTATCTTGGTTTACAGTATACTGATAGACATGATTATCATACTTGTTGATCTTCGGCTTGCAGAGTTTGATGTTGGTCTCATCACTGTTGATATGTCCATAAATGTTACCTACCCAAATCTGAAACCTCATCTCCATGAGCTGGCTGAGCTGATAGCTAAAGAGCTGGAGATTGACTCTCGTCAGGTATTAATAAGAATTAAAAGTATGCAACAACTTGGTTGTGCTGGTTATGCGAGTGGTTCTTTTCAGGCGGGATTGAAGAACATATTATACGTTCATTTACTTCAGTCTGCACTAATCTCATAGTTGTTTTGATATTGCTTCATTGTGATTTGGCTGAAGCTGCTATTTAATTTGACAGGTTCGAGTTATGAATATTACGAGCCAAGGAAATTCTACTCTGATTAGATGGGGTATTTTCCCAGCAGGATCTGATAATGCTATGTCCAATGCAACAGCAATGGTAGCATATACTCTTGGACCTATTATAACTATTTCGGATAATTTTTTTTCACATTAATTTTTTCTATTGATTTATTGCCAGGGTATTATCTATCGGTTAACTCAGCACCATGTTCAGTTGCCTGAAAATCTTGGCAGTTATCAATTGCTCGAGTGGAACGTGCAGCCTTTACCGAGAAGGTGAGGAATGTTTATTATAAGCTGCACTAGTCATACAGTGTGACAATATCCGCATTTTCCTTTTGGGGCTTCTCTTAAGAGAGACAATGTTGTTTTGTCTCTCTTTGTGTGTGTGTGTTGACACAGTTTCACCCATGTCTCATGTTCTGTTATATTTACATCTCTCCCCCCAGCACCAAAAGAAAAGTTCCATGAGATAACTTTATGAATGGATTATTATAGTGTGTAATAACTTCTGCAGCAGCCATCCATCTTATTTGCTTGAATGGTATTCCAGTGCTTCTGGAGAACTTAGCTTCCTTTATTTTTTGGGTGCAGGTCATGGTTTCAAGAACATGTAGTCTCTATACTGCTTGGGATTTTACTAGTTGTTTTGGTCACTTTGTCAGCCTTTTTAGTAGTACTTGTTTGGAGAAAGAAATTTAGTGGTCAAACTGCCTACAGACCTGTTGATTCAGTGGCTCCCGAGCAAGAACTCCAGCCACTATAATCCAAAGCTGTTTGGCGGAGCAACATATAGATGATTCTTTGGTAGAGATACCTTGTACGGGGTTACATATCACAGCGGCTCGCGTCTACTGCTGGAGTAAGCCCCTCTTTGTATGTAACACAAGCTACAAGCTTACAGAAGAAGCACAATATGATTACATGACTTCTCCATTCAAAACTTAGAAGCGATGTTCATAAACTGCCTAGTTATTCAGATCAAGAGCTCCCCTCTTGTGCTTACAGTAGAAGGTTTTGTTCATGTAATGTAGATTAAGTAGGGGTAGAGAAGAAACTAAGCACACCCGCGGAACGAAATGATGTAATATATATTTGATAAGTGCTGAGGGTATTTGGCTTCTTCAAATGTTTAGGGTATGCTTGATTCTTTTGCCTACAACGTTTTTTGCTATCGAGGAAGAAAGTCCAATGGGCCAAATTGTTATATTTAGCCAGCCCCCACTTTGTGAGCCATGTGGATGTGAGAGGGATTAGGCAGGTCACGCTAATAGTGGCAAAAAGTTAAATGTACCGTCCATGAGTGCTAAAGGATGTCAGTCCAAATTTTTGTTAATTGGCTTTCGTTTGGTCTGCTGCCAAATTTTGGGCTGGCAGCCCTCCCGTCTGTATATGGTACGACTGCATGAGAATCAAACATGCCCGATACGTGTCTGCATATCTCTAATATCGGTGTTAGGCACTTACGCTGTTTGGATCCACCGGCATCTAATAGATAGTTAAAATTAGCTAGCTAAAGCCCTATTTGAATTTATTATCTGCTAATAGTTAGCTGGCTAATAGCTATTTGTTCTAATTAGTGAGATTTATTTTATCTAGACGTTCAGGTAACAATTAGCTATTTTATTAGCTACACTTGTTGATCAAAAAAGATAATTATTAGCGGATAACTATTATTATCTAAAGGAATCCAAACAAGGCCTAAATGTTAGCCAATTAACAATACTTATGTCTGGTTCGGATCCAACAATTAAAATGTGGATGTGATGGGGGTTTCGTCTCTGATGCCCTTTTCTTTATATTTATTGTTGCTCGGTTTTTGTCTCTAATGCCAACGTAGCGAGAGAATCGTGGATACAGGTAGGTGTAAGAGCAAAAATGTAGTTTTGTAATTTATTAGCTGTTATTAGCATGATTAGGATACCAAATAAGATAGTTATTAGGTGTGTGCTCAGCTAACAATTAGCAAGATATGTTTGAATCTATCTAGTTAATTTTTAACAGCTAATTAGTGATTGCATGGATCAAGGAGTGTCTAACCTCAGCTTATATTGGGTTTGTTTGGAGAGATAATAACGTCTGTTGACCTTTTCTTTTTGATCAATATTTTTTATTGACAACGGTCGGGTCACACACTGTAGGGGCTAGATTGTCCAGAGGCCTCACATGGCCTAGCACACAGTAGGTCGACGAGGCCGATTAGACGCTCGTTCTTCACCCAATAACAAATGCTTCCCGGGAGACTCGTCGGAGAGACGCACGACAAGGGGTGTTCTAGGATCAGCAAGACCACCTAGAATGTCCACAAATCCCGTCGAGGGACATGTAAGACAATAAGGGGTTGGAAGAGATAATAAAAGGTCAAAAGTGAATAACTGATAATATATCGATTATGTACTTAGATACCTCAATTGGTCATGTAACCTATATTTTATATGGAGTTAGGGTGATCTTATCCCGTTGAAAAACCAATGCGGTACTATTTTCAGGTTGTCTCACATAGTTTTCTTTTTTTTGTTTTGATTGGGTCTCTTAGAGTTCTCTTAGATTGGGTTAAAATTGCATGGGCCGATTCCAATTTAAGTGTCAACATTGCCATAAGTCAGAGAATCCACGGTGAACAACCGATTGGAGAGATAAGTCGAATTTCTCTATATACCAATCACAGGTGCATCCTCTGTCTCCATTCAATAATAACAGGAACTAGTAGAATGATATGATAGCTTTCGTGTTGGTCCGGTCACGACTCACGATCAACGAAGTACATTGACTTGTAATTATTCCCGGAACCAGGAGAATGGTCAGCTAGGCGGTTCCGCTTGCCGCCGGCGCGCCGATCCGCTTGCTGGCCGTGAACCCACCGTCAACGACGAGGTTATGCCCGGTCACGAACTTGGCCTCGTCGGAGGCAAGGTAGACGGCCGCCCTCGCCACGTCCTCCACCTGCAGCACTGCGCCACGGAGCTCGCTCATGCCAGTCTCCACCAGCCGCTTCAGCTGCTCGTCGGGGACGCCAGGGTGCAGCCTGGCGAGGGAGCGGACCAGCAGCGGCGTGGCGATGGCGTGCGGCGAGATGGCGTTGACGCGCACGCCCGACCGCGCCAGCTCGTCCGCGGCAGCCCGCACCACGGAGATGACCGTGGCCTTGGACAGGCTGTAGGGCAGCGCGGCGAGGCCGCCGAGCATGCCCGTGGTGGATCCCGTGCACAGGACGCAGCCGGCGGCCCGGGGCACCATGACGCGCGCGGCGTGCTTGAGGCACGCCACCGCGGACCGCGCGTTGACCGCCATGACGCGGTCGAAGTCCGCGAGGTCCAGCGACGCCAGCGGCGTCGCGGGCGCCGAGGCCCCCGGCGCGCCCGCGTTGCTGTACAGCACGTCCAGCCGTCCGTGCCGCGCCACGGCGAGGTCCGCCGCCGCCGCGATCTGGGCCTCGTCTGTGACGTCGCACCGGGTGTAGGACGCCGCCGCGCCGAGCTCGGCCACCACGGCGCGGCCGGCGTCGTCCTGCACGTCCGCGAGGATCACCTTGGCGCCGTTCCGGACGAACTCGGCGGCCGTCGCCTTGCCGATGCCGCTGGCCGCGCCGGTGATGATGGCCACCTTGCCGGCTAGCCTCTGAGAGTCTGACGCCGTCGAGAAGCCACCGACGACGCCACGCAAGACGGCTCCCGCAGCTGTACCCTTGTTGTCCCTCCTGTGTTCAAGAAGACACGATTAGTCATCGGCGGCAATGCTTAAGCTTAACAAAGCGATAATTCGTGCATGAAACTTGAAAGAAACAAAAGAAGAATTTAACCACAAGAACCGATTTCTCTGAACACAACAGTAGCGACTGAAAGGAGAAACCTGAAAGCGAGGTGCGTTGCTCTCAGCATCCTGACAGATGGTGCTACTCTTGAGCTTCTCTGAGCTGCCAATGCTGCTGTGATTCTGCGAACAAGCTGTGAGTGGCGGCCCTTTTAAGGATCTGAACGCAGGCTATAGGAATCATGATGATGGCACGTTTGACTCGTTCGCGACGCTATTGATTGTCATGTTTTGGCTAATTTTATCGCCGCGTTTTATATTAATTATTAAAATCGTCACGGCACACATGCATGGTTCTGTATAGCATAGCAACCTATTTTGATTGGACTTTTGGGGAGCTCCAGCTCATACTCATTGGTTCCGGCAGAATGAATGAAGTCGTTAAACACACCATTTTTCGACTAAAATAGAGCCAAGATGACTTATTCAAAACATCCTCGATCTTATTCGTAGCTCCAGCTACAAGAGCTTAGAGCTCCGCCAACATACATTCTACTCCAAGGTCCAAACTACCGAATGCAGCAATGGTTGTACAATGTCAACCAATCGATAAAAAATGAGCAGAACATTTCAACCGACTCTACCGACCAGGCAAAAAACAGAAGTTCTCAATCGACAGAGTAAGAGAACAGAACATTTCAACGGATGGATTGCGTGTCAAAGGCCACATAAAATGCTCCAAAGACGGACCTTAGATCGATGAGCCGTCGTTCTATGACTCTAGACCCCGACAGATGAGCTGTACAACCTGTGCTCCCATACTCGCCCACATTCAAATGAAGTGGTTGAAAGCAACATTTTGAGTCTAAAACAGAAACAACATGATCGTAATAGTCACCCACAACCTATTTCTAGCCCTGCCAACGTACATTTACTCCACACGCTACGAAATGCAGTAATAGTTTTGCTACTTTCAAATCGATCAGTGAAGAAAACACAACATTTCAATCTATGTACCAAGCCAAAGACAAACTTTTCAACCGACGGAGTCAAAACCGAAACACTTCAGCCGAATGGGATGGCCACAAAAAAAATGCTTCAAAGAGGAGACATTTGAACGATGAGCGTCGCTCGGTCGTTGCATGACTATGCACCCCCGACAGAGCTTTGCGATTGCGATTGCGAGTGCGACCTGTGTTGTGAGAGATTGGTTTTCACACGCTTCTCCCTGATCAAAGCTTGATGAGTCATGAGGGAGTGACGGCTCCGTTACGGATCAGGAGCCCAAGACATCCAGGTTATACAAGCCGTGTCATGTTTGAATCGCTCACCACCTGGTCTAATTTGTTGTTGTCTGTCTGACTGTCTCCAATCTGCGGCCGAGTTCGTACATACTGAAGGCCTATATAAACAATTAACAAATATTCATGAAAAGTAGCACATCATCCGCAAAATGTAGACTCACAACCCCAGGTTCAAAAATCATAAAGCAACCCTCTAAAACTATACCTTCACCAGTTACGAAAACATCCGCAAATTCAGAAGACACGCATCAGGAGGTAAGGTCCAAGTCAGAAGCTGTGTTCAACTACCACACCATAGTCACCAGTTCAAAAAACAAAGCAGTTTCTCTTTTTTTTTTTTGTGCCCACTGCTTCATAAGTAAACAAGCTCCGTTCGCGTGCCCTTAAACCCGGTTTAATCCTCTTCTTTTTTCATCCGAAACAGTATTTTTCTCTCACAAATTTCTCCAGATCCATCCAGATTCCTCCAAACGAACGGGGCCAAAACCAAACTACAACCGTCATTTGTTGGCTGTGTTTGTTTTCCTTGGCCAAAAGTTTAGTCATGTCATATCGAATGTTTGACATATGTATGGAGTATTAAATATAGACTAATTACGAAACTATATGCACAGATTGAGACTAATTTGCGAGACGAATTTTTTAAGCCTAATTAGTCCATTATTTGACAATGTTGTGCTACAGTAAACATGTGCTAATGATAGATTAATTATGCTTATTAAATTCGTCTCGCGGATTACTGATGACTTCTATAATTTGTTTTATTATACTATCCGAACACTCGGCGTGACAACAATGCTTACACCACCTAGGATCGGGCGTAATCGACGTGCGGAAGACTTTAAAAAAATCGTGCGGAAGACTCGTATCCATTCTTGCGCCATCCAGTCAAGTGGTCCGTGGAACAAACAACAACCAACACGATCGGATCACGCCACAAAATAAGCCAGCTATACAACACCTTGTGATCTTCGGTTTCTATGGTACAGTACGTTTTGAAGACGAGAGTAAAAAAACTTGACTCACCGGGTATGACCTCGCTAGAGTATTGCTATTAAGATATAAGACTTAACCTTGGCAGATCGAGAAACCCTCCAACTCTGATAGCGCAAACCCTTAGCGCCACACCATACCGGCGGCACCCACGTCACTGTCCTCAGTAGGACTACATCGTTCACACCGGCTGACTAAACTGTTATCAAGGCTCGCGCTTGTCATTATTTTTAGATTGCCAGTGAGACAGATTTTTTAACCTGTCTAAATTCGCTCATATGGAAAGTCGAACCTCGGGACTCGCTCTCTCGCCCGCCCCCGGCCTCGGCGTACGACGGGACCGGCGCCTGCTGCCCCACTAGGCCGCCGTCGCGTTCGCGTACGAGTCCATCGGCTGAACGCCTGAACTGAACCCTCTGTATAACTCTGTACTCGTAAGGCGTACCGCGCGCTCTGTGAGTCGTGTTTCGTGCGAATCTGTGACTGGGATCTAGTACTGTCCAGGCGCTGAGCCGCTGACGCTGACGCTGACGCTGACCATGATCTGGCACGCAGCTAGGGAATGAACGGTGCAGAGTGGAGTGGAGTGGAGTACTAGGAACTGCAGAGTACAGACTACAGAGTACATTGATGCTGTCCTTCGTGGCCACCTCTCCTGGTCCTGTGCAGCGTGCAGGTCGTTCATGGGTTTGATTCAGCTACGACTACGAGCAGTCTCAAGACACTGCACATTGTATCCGCCATGATGATTGGTGACATCCGATGTTCAAACACCCCCTCATCATGAGATGCCAAGCATGAAACATAGAAGTTTTAACCATCAAAGGTACTATAAATTTGGTATACCTTGGTTCCATGAATCATTTCGATTGACTAACAATAAAAGGAAGCAGAATACATAATTCTACAGTTTTGCACAAAGCAGCTGGCCGGGAGGGTACTCAGAGTAACACAGCCTAAGAAAATATCCCATCCCAAAGCCTGCTTTAGGCCAGGCCCCAAAAATTCCACAATTTCATAAGGATACAAAATCAAACAACAATTGCCACTTGTCAGATCATAGACAATACTTCATCACCAGATGTTGATCTGAAAGGCAACCAAATTTCCAAAGTTTGCAAATAAAATGTTTAACCATCAAAGACACTATAAATTTGAGATAGCTTGGTTCTACAAATCATTTCGATTGATTAACACTAAGATAAAGTAGATACATATCGATCATATGAACATCCCATAACATGGCACCGGTTTACTCATTAGCAGGGAAGAACCAAGTCAGAAACTGGCGTTTGCGCTGTACCTCTGCCATCACAGCCTCTGGCAGCAATGGTGTGATTTCTCCATTTCTCATGTTGTACACGCCAGAGTCAGCAAGAGGATCCACACACGGACCAAAAAACTCACTACATGGATTGTCAAGATCCTAATGCATGAAGTAGACACAATCCTCTTGAACTCCACCTGAAAATTGGCTAGCAAGAACTGACTTGGAGCACTGTGAACCAAGAAAGATTGCGTGCCCACCCAGGGTCTCCACCTTGGTCCACTGGCTAGGAAGAGTGGCAAGGACTGCCTCGAAGACCTCAATTCGCACAGTCTTGTCATGGTCTCCAAGACTAGCATTTGGTGGAATGCGCATCCACCTCCTCAGCATCAACAGCTTACCATCGCATGCTGTTAGGTATTGCACGACCAAGTATTCAGGCTGCTTGGGGTCATCGGCTATGCACTGATGAAAGCCTGATGATGATTGTAGTTTGCTGAGGTGGTCAGCATCAAGCTCAATGGCATGAAGCCCTTCAGTGCCAGTGAGAGCGTATAGCTTCCCATGAAAGAAGGCTATGTCATGGATCCTTGGAGGGTCTGGACAAATGGTGATGCTGATAGCATTGTCCTGCTTGAGACTTTGGCATTTCACTCATCGTCGAAAACTGGTTTCGCACTTTTACCATCCCGCAAAGTGGTTTCGCTCGTTTGCCATTATAAAACTGGTGTAACCCACTGAAGTACACTTCGGATAGTTTTAATTCGTAGAAAAAAGGCACATTCTTCCAGTTCTACCCTTGCCTGCTTTCTCACCGCATGCCTCATGGGTCTGCTCCGTGAAGGGGGGCAGACAGAGGAAAGGAGGCGACTCCGGCGAGCGAAGTACGGTTGCGGACATGGCGGACAAGCCGAGCCGCGCGCTGGTCCTCTACGCCGCCGGCCACGCCGTGGTGCTTGCTCCCCCGCCGGGCTCCGCAGCCGCGGGGAGCCACCTCGATGCGTTCGCCTCTCGCGCCTCCTGCGGCCTTCTCACCCTCCGCCCCCGCCATCCAAGCGCCGCCGCCGCCCCAGGCCATACAAGCGCCGCGACGGGTGCCGCGAGCCGGCCGCGGGACGGCCGCGTAGCGCCCACAGGAAGTGCCGCGAGTCGGCCGCGGGAGGGCCTTGGCGGCGTCGAACCAGCCCAGGCTCCCGGAGACCCGGACCCGAAGCAGAGGAACACCACCGACGCCCGCGGCTGCACGTCGAACCACGGACGCACGCCGGCGCAGTCCACGAGGGGCTCCAAGGCCGCGAGGTGGTTGAACCGGACGCCAATGCCCGACGCCGCACACGCCGGACGTGCGCGCCACCTCGGATGCCGACTCTGGCGTCGGCGGCTGCATGACGAGGACGGTCACCGTGAACTCTCAGCCGAGGTGGTCGTCTCCGCCGCCGGTGCCGTGGCCGACCAGGCGGTTCCTGGCTTCGATGAGCGACCTGAGGTGGCCGGAGCCGAGTGCAGGGAGGAGGAGCACGCTATCGCCGCGGACCCGGCCGCCAGCCCGCACGGCAGGAACGCCGCGGTCACCTCGGCGCCGAGCGCGAGCGAGCCGATACTGCGCTCATCGACCACCCGGCAAGCGCGCCGCCGCTCTTCCTCGCTCACGCCCGCTCCTCCTCCCATCGAGGCTCCGAGCACCGGTGCGGCAACGGCGAGCACTGCTCGGCGACGCCTATGTCCGCGACAGAGGTCCGCCCGGGCTGCTACCTGCGCGGATGGCAGCTTCTTCAGGTCAGGGGCGAAGCGAGGCCATGGAGAAGCTGCTGCTGGGGCGAGGAATCAGACGGAGGCACTGTGGTGGCGGTGGATTTTTCTGCTGGCCGCCGCTTTCGGTAACACGGCGCGTGCGCGGTGTGCAGTGAAGGCGAGAGAGAGAGTGAGAGCTCACACACGCTGCGCGTCTAGCGATGCGGTCGGTCTCAGCGAGAGACATGGAGGAGGCGGTGGAGGCTGTGGTTGCGGCCGGAGTGGAGCCATTCCCGACGGTGGACAAATGCGACGTCTCGGGCCTCGGCGCGCACTCCTCCGTGGTGGCGGACCTTGACGGCACGCTGCTCCGCTGCCGCAGCGCATTCCAGTACTACGCGCTAGTGGCCTTCCAGACCGGCGTCGGAGTCCGCGTGCGCGCGCGTGCTGGTCTTCGGTCCCATGGCGGGCGCCCGTGCTCCCGTGGTTCTACGCTGCAGATGTGCCAAGCAGGCAGGGGTAGAACCGGAAGGATGTGCCTTCTTTTTTTTCCATGAATTAAAACTACTCGAAGTATATTTTAGCGGGTTACGCCAGTTTTATAATGGTAAATGAGCGAAACCATTTCACAGGATAGTAAAAGTGCGAAACCAGTTTTCGACGATGGGTGAAATGACAGAGACAGCAATGCTGTTTCCCTCCGAGATCAGTACAGCGATGAGGGGATCTGTCGTCGAATCAAGGGGCGACGACTGTACCGCCTTAACATACGCCCTCTGAATGTATGATTCTGTGTAGAATGGAGAGTCGCTGATTGCTCTGCTCACGGCGGGGCCCAACTTGGGGAGAGGGAGCCTCAGACCAGAGAGCCGGTTCATCAGAGAGCAGCCGCCGTCGTGGTGCACGAGGAAAGCCAGGTTGTCGACGGCAAGGTAGCCGAAGTCGAAGCCTTCTTCACGGAGGATGGGGGCGCAGCGGACGGGGGCGCCGGCGAGGTCGACAAGGGTGCCGTCGCGGAAGGCGAGCCACGGGAGCGGAGGGGGCAGCCTCTCTGCGGCGGCGCCAGTACGCCAGGGCCAGCAGACGGCGCAGAAGCGGACGCGGTCGGCGAGGGACGGCAGGCGGTGGAGCACCTGGCCCAGGAGATCCGGCGGGAGCTCCTCCCACGATGACGGCATCCCCGCGGCCGCCATCTTCGCAGCTTTCTCTCACTAGTCACAAACAACAAAATCCCTCCCAATTAGCAATTCAGCATCGAAGCAATCAAGTACTGTATGGCATATGCACGATTGAAGCCACAAATTTCCAAACCTAGAACGGAACGGGAAGCACTCACCGCCCGAGGAGAAGCCTGGAGCGGTCGCGGGAAGCGGCGGCGATACCGTGAGCCGTCGCGTAGCGGTGCCCGTGGTGACCTAGGAAATGCCAATCCCCTGTTCGTAGGCAGAACCAATTACGTGGGCCGCGTGGGGTGTGTCCAGAGCCCACTGACCTTCATTGTCCATTACAATGGGCCACATGTGTACTGATCAAATCAAAATGGATGGACGTATCTTGCATTTCTTTAGATCCTTTAAATGTGAATTCTCAAAAGCCTGATTCTAGTTTTTAAAAAGTTGGGTTTTTTAGAGCAAGTTTATCTATATCTATCTATATATTCTATTTATATGTAATACTCTCTCCATTTTAAATTACTAGTGGATAAGCACGTGTGGCACGCACGTGAATAACCAAAAAAATCCTTATTAATAGTGAATATGGCAATAATTTTTTTCAGAAGCCAATGCCTATATATATCATATATGTTGTTCAAGATCGACAACATTTATACTATATATAGGCAGGCCACAATTCATTATATATATATGATTCACTGTCCTCTACTTCTATATATAATTATTTGCTTCTACCAACAAGCATTCATCGCTTCTACCGATAATTACTCGCTTCCACCAACAAGCATTTATCGCTTCTACTGATAATTGTTTAGTGAAGGAGTTGTACCAAACGCGTCCTTAGACCCATTTATATAGGTTGAGGACATGACTTTATAACTATAAAATTTTAGATAAAGAGAGACATATTCTGTAGATCACTCATGGTGAAACAATTACTTATTGTGACAACAACTACTAGAAAACCATTTATTTAAGAGTAGGACAAGAGAAGTAAAAACTAAAAACTGATGAGAAGAGTTGAGTTAAGCTAATTCATACACTCCCACCATCCTATAATATAGCGCATAAAATCATTAAAAATAGGGGTTTAAGCGTTTATGCCCACGTTTTGAAGGAAAATGGTGATTTTTGCCCCCGTCTTTTAAACTTTGTGATTTTACCCCTATGTTTTCAAACGGAAGCAATAGTTTGTCCCTATTCCGTGAAGTCCTTTTAACATTAACTTTTACATGAGAAAAACAAGTTTGCCCAGTGATTTTACCTCTGTTTTGTTAGTGCACTTTGTGACTTTACCCTGATTTCAATATCAAAGTTTGACAGATTTAGTAGAGATGTTGGCAATAAAATTAGATACAATTTTATGAATTCGATTTAGCACTATAAATCTCTGTAAAATTTGGACACCATTTGATATGTGCTCAGCGCCATTGAGCCTGTGTTCGAAATAGCATGTCGATCAAATAATCATTAAACGAAATGAAATATTGCAGAAGGAAACGGTTACTGCGAAAATTCTGAAATTTGAATAGCAGCTTGCTTTCGTTTCCTTTGTGAACCTGAGTTCTTTGCGAACAAACAATGCACTTAAGCCTGTTCGCATGCTCGTATATGATCGTGGATTATAAGCTGAAACAATATTTTTCTCTCATACCAAACAAACCAACAGTAAATAATCAACGATCGTTTACGACGAAACGAAGAGTCTAAGATTCTCGTGCACGCGTATTCTTTCGTGCTGCTTGCGGTGCTATGAAGGCGGCGTGCAGAGGCCGGGCTCCGGATCGCTGGACGGGGGCACAGGCCAACGGCGCTGCACACATCCACAGACACAGGCGAGAAGGGAGAATGGATGTGCTCACCGGCGGCGGTCAGCGCGTCCAAGTCGGTGCACGTATCGGGAAGCAGGGGCGGCGCGGTAAAGAAATCTTCTGGTGGCAGCGGTAATTTGAAGGGCACACGGGCGCAGCTCTTGGGGTGTTCTCACTCCTGAGTCCTGCCCCGTCGTTGTAGTTGGCGTACTGTTTTGTACGTACTGCCGTAGCACAGGATAAAATAACTCCGGCTCCAACCATAATAAACCTAGGAAATGAAGAAGACGAAGGAGCCAAAACTCCGACGGCTCTACAACACTACTGCTGTAGTGTAGTGTGGTGTAGAGGTAGAGCCCTCCAAACCGGCCCTAAACTTTGTGAAAATTCTACCCTACGATTGACATGGTCCCGCGGACCCGCAGGGCAGCGGCAATATTTCGGGAGTGCGGCTCAAACAAACACGTCCGACAGTGCGATCCACGCGCTTTATCGGTACTCTATCTGTCCCGTCCCTAGATACGGGTCGTTTTCTTTTCCAAGAAACTTTGACTAAATATATTTATCGTACATAATTAGTATTATTAAAAAGATCTTTAAATCTAGTTTTTTTTAATAAATTTATTACGTATTTTCTATAAATCGAGGCACGCACGTCGACAACGACAGTTACGCCGGTGCCGTTTGCGTCAGCTGGCGATTGACCCCCGGGCAGCAGGGATTCAGGACGGCTGCGTTCCTGCGGCAAGCGCCCGCTACACTGATATATAATTTCCCCAACATCTACGAGAGAGCCGCACTTTAAACATTGTTCACCATCATCCATATGACAGTACGCAGTAGAATCCGCTTGTAAGTTGTTTGGTTCCAACATCTCAAAGGACACGCAGATCTAGTAGCATTGTTTATTATTCTAGCACGCACGTCCGAGGAAACAGTCATACAAACACAGCACACGCGGAAGAACTGCGAGATTCCGACGCACGGCGCGCACGACGACACCAACAAGCTACTACAACCTGTGCAGGATCGCGAGCGAAATCCTGCGAACTCGATGGATCATCTATCCTAGGGGCACTTGGGGCGCTGGGTCTTGGGGGACTTCATGTCCCTGTAGCACGGGCACTCGTCCTTGCTGGCGTACGGGCCCGACGGCACGCAGCCCTGGCACTTGCCGCAGCACATCATGCACAGGTCCATGCACCGCCCGGCCTTCTTCAGCGAGCACCGGCTCCGGCACTTGCCGTCGCACACGCCGTCCGGGACCGCGCCGCCGCCGTTGTCTGCAGCGCGCACACAGTCACACACACGCGGCCTAGGGGAAGCATACATGATGTTGACATGTAGTAGTTTTCACAGAAGAAACGAAAAGCACACATGATCTGGATCTCGCCCCGCAACAATCTTTGCTCGCTGCAAGATTTGCAATAATCTTACCTGCAGCCACGGTTAGATCCAGGAACGAGGCAGCGGCAACCAGGACGAGGAGCAGGAGAGCCACAGGGATCGCCTTCATCTTCAACCTCTTGTTCGAGATCTTCAGCACAGCTCAAAGACGCAGAGGAAGTTCCTCTTCATCTGAGGAAACCACTGGCTACCGAGGTGAAACTGCAACACTGCCTGGTACACTCGTGAATGAAGTGGCGAGGTGGCTGCGTGCGTCAGGGTGTGATATATAGCCGGGCTGTGGGTCGAGGGCCTTTCTGGCGTGAGCCACGTTAAGTGCCGCAGGAATCTGCAGGGACTGGACGGCCCATGAACGCCAAAACCGCTTGCGCTGCGTCCGTGACTCCAGCAGTGAAAGAACAGGTCACGGCTGTGAGCTGTCTCTGTCGGCATGTGCAGCCGGGCCAGCCCCGGGGGGCCTACCTCATGTGCCCCTGCACCTTTTCTTTGTTTCCTAGGTTGCGTGCATCCTCTACGATCATGGTATATCTACGGCTATGGTTGATGTGTGGCACGCTAACGTTTGGTTCCATATCATATCTGAATCTTCGTCCCTCACACAGCCCTGTGATTTGAGCAGTTTGTACACCCCGGATGTATCTAGCTTCCCAGTGCAAGGCAAAAAAAAAAAAAGGGGGGGGTGAAAACCTCTTATCTGCCCGACGGCTAGAACGCTTTTTTTCTCGAATAAGCAAAAGATTTGCGTATCATTGTATTAAGAATAAGAGTTTAAACATACAGACAACGCGTCTCTATCGAGCGTCGAAAGAAGTCGACCTAAAACAGCCGGCGGTTAGAACTGTGACTACAACCTCGGCGATGCCGCACACGATTGCTAGTTCCAGATCTGCCTGAGGAGACAGACATGGCACGAAGGGCGGCCTCACCGAACCAGACGTCGAACCAAAAGGAGGTACTCTCCCCATGCATCTTCAACCCGGACCGATGTGATCGCTTCGTATAGCAACAGCAGCGAGCGCAGCACCTCCCAGTTCGTGCCATGCTGATAAACCCTTCAGCGTTGCAAGGAGGTCTCCACAGAGTGTGCAGCCGATGTAGAAGCTTTAGCAGGAGACAGATGGGAAGAGAATGACTCAAAACACGGGATTTGTTTGGTTTTAGCATGTAACGTTGTCGGTTACCAGTAGTCCATCGTTGCCAAGATCATCAGATGCTAACAAGATGATGCATAGGCCTTGAGGATCTGAACAAGGACAGGAGCTCCGACACCACTGCAGTAGCCAGTAGGGATGAAGGGCGTGGCACGACGTCGCTACCGTGGTCTTCGGGAGGAGAGCTGCCTCGAGGCCATGGCGGGTCACCAAACGGGCACCAATGCCGCCGCTCAGGACAGCCACTAGCTAGTGAAAAGCAGCAATGAACGGCGGCGTGGCCAGAGCGGAAGCTTTAGCGACGAGCAAAACTCAACAGCGATCGGTTGATGGAGTTATCCATTTGCGTTACAAATGTCCTAACCAAACACTACCTATCAACGTGATCGCGTTCTAACACGCCAGTGCTGCTGCGCACCATCAGCAATGGGCGAGAGTGCGTCGCAGTTGTTGGCGGTGGTGACTGACAGGCGTCGCGGACGTGGGATCCACCTTCACGTTCGTGTTCGCCGCGAACTGCTTTGGGCGCCGCGCCCGCTTGCTGTTCATGGCCGGCGGCGAACAGATTCTAGCATCGCAGGAGCTGATCGGCCGGCGGCACCCCTGGTTCCCCTTCGAACCACAATTGTGGCCACGCACCGCGCACCAGCCTTTGTGGGGACCGCGGAGTCCGCGAAAGTCATGCCGCTGTGCAACTGTGCTATTGCTCCAACTGCTGCCCACCCAAGCGACCGACCGGGCTGGACGCCTTCGCCTGTACGCGCTCACGGCCGGGCGTTCTCGGGTCTCGGCTGCCTAATCTAATCTAGCAGAAATTGCGGCAAGGAAAATAGATGATCACAGATTCACAGCAAGCGAGGGCGTCGAAAGAGGCAATGCCAATACGGTTCCAGCCACAGCCATGATATGTTGATCCGAACCAAATACATTGTTTTGATAGCAAGACCAGACGGACGCCCACGATTCCATCAACCTTTTGCAAACGCTAGGCAAAAGATTGTCCAGCACAAATAATTACGTACTACTAGTACTAAATTTCCAACTCAAATACACTAACGAAGAAACGCAACGACAGACGGATACTCCAGCCACAGCTATGATACGTTCATTTTTGCAAACTCTTGTAGGTCTCAGCGAACTGCAATGTCCTCCTCAAGCCAAGTAGTCCTGCCAAGAACGCGAGACGAGCATGTCGATCAGCATGTAAAACTCTCACGCAAAATCTGAGCCGACCAAGTTCCAGAGAAACGAACGAATCGAAAAACTCATGGCATGCAAGCAATGCACGCAAGCTTATCGAAACGGTGAGTGTGGCGATGAAAAGGTTGAGCGAGGACGCGACGCAGGCCGCCGCCCACTCGTCGCAGCTCCGGACGAAGTAGCCGTCGCCGCCGAAACAGAGGTAGCTATGGAAGAACATGGTGACGAACATCCAGGTGGAGATGCCGAGTGGCCACGCGGCCTCCGGGGTCAGCCGCGGCGCCGGAGCGGGCCCCCTCTCCAGGACGCGCGCCAGCAGCTCCTGGACCACCAGCGTGGCCACGGTGAACGAGGCGCACGTGACGGGGAGGCCGTAGCCGGCGGGGAGGGACGGCACGACGGCGGGCCTGGACGCCGGCGCGAGCCTCGGCGCGATCGCGACGATCATGCTGCCGACGTAGAGGAACAGCGAGTACCGCCGCACCTTCTTGAGCAGCCTCTCCTGAGAAACAATCGGAAAAGAGGCCAACAAGGGAATCGATGAGCATTCAGACACAACAATAAGTTACTCCTGTCAAGAACATGAGTTAACGGAGAATTGTGAGTGTAGAAAAACTGACAACTTCCTCCTCCCTCCTCCTTTCATCCGCCTCGGCAGCAGTAACAGGCTTCTCCACTTCAGAGTTCAGAAACAAGATCGTTAGTTTAGGCCATGGCATATCCAGGCGGGAAACAAGGCACAAATGGCAGAAAAACCAGTAAGAGCTTTGTTCCAAAATAAAAGATCAAGAAACAAGAGATTGGACTTGAACTGAACATTTCAGGCATCAGAAATCTGAGAAAAGTGAACAAAACACAAGAAACATCACAATGGTCTGGCGGGTGGCGGCGATGCATTCTTTACGTCGGAGAGAAGGCACATGGCACACGGAGTTTTTTCTGTTATGAGCTCGTACGAGCAGAGCACTGATTTCTCGGCGTCGTCGGGCTGCCTTGTCCCGGTGCGATCAGATTTTTTGGATGCGAGTGGAAGCTCTGCAAAAGTGAAACAGAAAGTGTACCGCTGCCTGCTGACACGGTACTAGCTGCCCTATCCTTGCAGCCTTGCAGGTGGATCCCGATACGCTGCTTGGTTTGAAATTGGAATTCGAACGACTGCCCTTACGAGTTCAAAAACAAAATGAAAGCCATTGCCCGAACGTCGACTGCTCCGCGCCTCCAGCAGAAATTGTGAAATTGACGGATAGGAGCGCAGCAGGGCACCTGGGCCCAATCTATAGATCTGGCCCGGCGCACATCGAGTTTTAGAGTCATGTTGATGCGATTTGCCGATCTGGGCTACGGTGTCCAACTTTATCAAGGCAGTCATCCTGGGCCGGCCGCGACCCTGACACACACCAAGTGTGAGCAACATGTTCCAGCTTAGGCCCATATACAACAAGCAACCAATAAACTATTTTTTCATTTATATTTTACATTAGAATTTTGCTGAGAAATCTCTGCACGGTTTCAAGTTATGAACGCGGCTCATCAGAAAATTGTTGCAAGTTTGCTGGTACTTCGTGACGCCTTCGCTTCACACTCTTTTTTAATTGCCGAAGTACAGTAATATTTTGAAGAGTTTAATCCATCGTCTATAACCAGCTAATCATGAGGCTGAGGCGGAGAAATCGTCCAGAGCAATACCTCCATCCACCTCCGGGTTCACGACCACACATGGCACGCGTGACACACGACAGAAGTGACTCAGGCTCACCAATGCTGGAGCACACAAGAACATATCAAATTCCAAATAGTTTATGAAATACATGGTATGGACTTTTGGATATTTTTGGTACACAGCTAGATGCAAAGTTCAGTTCAGTGTCTGAACTGATGTCATCCTTCCCATTGTTCTCTCAGCTTTGCGTGTAAACGAAACAGTAAGCCTTAATAAAATTTGTTATATACTCATATGTCTACAACTCTTGTTTACGTGCATAAGTCTAACTCAAATAGTCGGAAGCTACAGAGGTTCAAAGCTTTGGCAGACACGGTGAAACGTTCAGTTCTCAGGGTTTCAGAGACAGTTTTGAGTAGGCTTCATTTGCTGGATAATTAGTAGCTGATTACTAATCTTTTGTTATCAAGAGTTACACCATTTGAAACACTAAACTTTATATTTACATTTTGAGCTAAATAGTCATATAAGTTTGTATGTGAAACTGCTCAAAATTCGGTGCCCAAATCAAAATGCTAGTACTGTTCTTAAGAGATGACGTCAGAGTTAAGTCAAATAGCACTTTGACGAATCTTGGGCTGAGTAATTGAACGCCAACCTTAGCTATTTGGTCAGTAAGGATTATATACTACATGACAGAGTAAACTACATAGTCCTAATCTAGGCTTAACTGACATATTATTTCTTTTACAAAATTTATGTAAAATAGAGCTCCAAGCTTAGAACAAGTTAACTGAACTTCAGACCTACGAAAAACGGCTAATTCCAGAGCTAAGTCAAACGACAGTTCAAATCATATTGGGAACCTAACTTACAGCTAATCGTTGATCCATTGACATCAAGAACTATACCATTGTAAAGAGCAAAGATTGCGAACGGGCCTCCAGTCTAGTGGTTGGAGCTCTTCATTAGCACCCGAGCAGGACACGTTGGAATCACCATGAGGACGAATTTAAAAAAAAAAGAGGTAGGGGGCTCCCCTGTCGACGGTTCAAAAAGAGAGAGCAAAGATTGTGTCTCTACTTGGGTCTGAACTGTATATAAACTTATATAATTTGCTAAAAACTAAGCTTCAAACAATGAACCTGTTACTACTTTTCAGACTTGAGCAATATTGTAGTGATTGCGGTTTTCATAAAGAGAACATTAAACTACACCTTTAAGGTTGGTATCAATAACCTACCTAGGTTAGGGTTCATAACTTATGCTTATCTATAAGATTAATATCTGAGAGGTCATAGATTTAGCCTTACCTTTGTTCTAGGCTATTAGCCAACATACAAGATTCCACCAAACGAAATTTTAAATCACCTCTTTAGTGTTCATTCCACCACAGACCCGCTATCTCCTATTTGTTACCTTGGTGATGCACCCCATCCACTACATGTCTGTAGCGGATGGGCAGGTTCCACCACAAGGAACCTAACCAACTGATATACGATAAGTTTGGCATCAAACGAAATTTTAAATTACCTCTTTACTGTTCAATACATATAACAGCTTACCAAACATGTTTTATGAAAATGCTTATGCATGCATGATGAATGCTATTGCTCCAGAAACGCTATGTCTAACACCAGAGGTGATCGGCCGGTAGTACCCCCTCCCCTTCGAGCCACATTTGTGTTAAGCTTTGGCTCGTTACGCTCGACCCTATGGACCTGAGACTCTAGTAACTTGGTCATGCACCACGCACCAGCCTTTGTGGGGACCGTGGAGTCCGCGAAAGCCATGCCGCTGTCCTATTGCTCATCCAACTGCCCACACAAGCGACCAACCGGGCTGGACGCCTTCGCCTGTAGCGCACGGCCGGGCGTTCTCGGCTGCGTGGCGGCGCGCGACCGCCCCCGCCCGCGCGAAATGCGTCGTGGTGAAATTGCATTTCACATGAGAAGCATAAATGAGCTCCCTTTTCTTGGCCCGCAATGGACCAAGCAAGAAGCAATAACCTGTCCCATTCCCATGCCATGCTTGCAATTGAGGTAAGGAAAACAGATGATAACAGAGTAGCAAACGGGGCGGGGGCACAATGTAATCAAGCAGCAGAAATTGTGGTAAGGAAAACAGAGGATCACACATTCACAAGCAAACGAGGGCGTCAAAAGAGACAATGCCAATATGGTTCCGGGATCCAAACCCAAAGACATTGTTTCCCAAGTTCTCTGACAACTCTGACAATAGTACTCCCTCTGTCCTAAAATATAGGTCGTGCAGGTTAAATTTTTTAACTTTAACTAGATTTATAGAAAATACATGCGACATTTATATCTCCAAATAAATTTATTATAAAAATATATTTGACGGTCTATATAATGGTACTAATTATGTATTATAAATATTAATATTTTTTTATATATTTAGTCAAAGTTAAACGCGTTTGACTTCTAGAATGACATCTACTTTGGACGGAGGGAGTAGATAGCAAGACCAGACTGCCACCCACGGTTCCATCAAGGCATCAACATTTTACAAACGCTAGGCACCATCGCAAAAAAAAGACAACCTTTACTAATTACTACTACTACTAAACTTCGAACTCAAAGACACTAACGAAGAAACGCAACGACAGAGAGATACTCCAGCCACAGCTATGATACGTTGATTCTTGCAAACTCTTGAAGGTCTCAGCTAACTGCACTGTCCTCCTCAAGCCAAGTAGCGCTGCCAAGAACACGGTACGAGTATATGTCAGCATGTTAACTCTCAAAGAAAATCCAAATCCAACCGACCAAGTGCCGGAGAAACGGACGGTCGATTTTAAAACTTATGGCATGCTCGTAAGAGGCTCATCATAACGGTGCGTGCGGCCATGGCGAGGTTGGCCGCGGACGCGACGCCGGCCGCCATCCACTCGTAGTAGTACCTCCGCACGCCGAACGTGAGCTAGCTGACGCAGAACATGGTGACGAACATCCAGGTGAGGATGCCGAGCGGCCACGCGGCCAGCGGGGTCAGCTGCGGCGCCGGCGCGGGCCTCCTCTCCAGGACGTGTGCGAGCATCGCCTGCATGGCCAGGCTAACCACGGCGAACAAGATGCCGGTGAGGCGGTGGCGGAGGTCGTAGCAGGCGGGGAGGGACGGAACGGCGGCGGGGCTGGACGCCGGCGCGAGCCTCGGCGCGATCACGACGATCATGGTGCCGAAGTAGAGGAGCAGCGAGTACCTCCACACCTTGTTGAGCAGCCTCTCCTGATAAACCAATCGAAGAGGGGGTCGGTGAACATGAGGACACAACAAGTTAGCCATGAAGAAGACAAGATCATGAGTTGGGAGTTATGAGTATATGAACACTGACAACTTCCTCTTCCCTCCTCCCAACCACTCGGTTGTGCTACGTCTGAACTCCGAAGAAGCGATGGATGCACTGCGAGAGGGAGGACCAAGTTATAGCGGGTCGCGAGGCCGTGGCTGAGAAGAGAAACGAAGGGGTCGCGGTTTGGTCAATGTTCTGCGGGGATGGTTCCTTTTCGTCGGAGACACATGGAGACAGCAGTACTAGTGCAGTTGGAGCGAGTTTCTGTTGCGATCGTACTCGAGCAGAGCACTGATTTCACGGTGTCATCGGGGCTGCCTTGTCCCGTGGCGATTAAAGATGGCAATGGGACCCGATCTCTAATTCCCCGTGGGGAATTACCCTATTAGGGGACCGAGATGGGATCAATTAACCCCCACGATAATTTAAATGGTAGAAAATCAGTCCCCGTCGGGTCTGACGTGTACGGAGATGAGATCAGTACCCCCGTCACAGATTCCCGCAAACTCGATCCGCTAAGAATGCACAGTGTCGCAGGCATAAGATCCACATCAATTCGGCCCATCTAAGGGCCATCGGTGGCTTGAGTATATATATAGAAACCTGTAACCCTAATCTCTCAGTTCTCCAATCCCCTAGCCCCAGCCACTCCCGTAGCCGCCAGAGTCCTAGGCGCAGACGCCGACCACGGCCTAGGCGCGATTCACGCCGTCGCATGTCCTCACCCCAAGCTCCTCCATCCTCCCTTGCATGTAGCATCTCGGAGCCCCTAGCTAGACATCGCTAGTCACCAGTCACCACCGCCCCTGCGCTGCTGCCTAGTACCTCCATCCGAAGGAAAGATGGCTATTGCCGTGTTGCATGACTTCATCTCCTTTTTCTCAGCCTGCTAGTGGACAGCAGAGGCGTATCTTGCCTTTTTTTGCATTACCGTCTCATCCTAACACAAGCACTTGTTTATTTGCGAGATTTTGTTATTGATTTGTTTGCGATTTTGGCCGCAAAGGAGCTGCGATTTGTAAGACTAAACGATTCTATTTCATGTTGGTGCAAGATGTGTTTGTGATGAACATTTCTTTTCTAGATTGGTGATCTGAGTAAATTTTTTTCCCAACTTATATCGCGGGGATGGGGACCCCGTCGGGGATGGATTCCCTGCTCGGGTTCGGGGATGGGGAGATAATGTCCCCCGCGAGGCCGCGACCTTTGACGGAGACGGGGACGGGGAAAATCTTTCCCAATGGGGATAGGGATGGGAAGACGATATCCGACGGCGAATTCCCCGTTGTCATCGTTAGTAGCGATCAGAATTTTTGGACGCGAGCAGGAAGCTCTGCAAAAGTGAAACAGAAAATGCACCGCATCCTGCTGACACAGTACTAGCGGCCCTATCCTTGCAGCCTTGGAGCTGGATCCCGATACGCATACGCTACTCGGTTTGAAATTGGAATTCGACAACTGCCCCTAAACGAGTACAAATAAAAAAAAATTGAAAGCTATTGCTCGAACGTCGACTGCTCCCAGAAATTGTGAAAATTGACGGAAAGGAGCGCAGCAGGGCGCTTGGGCCCAATCTATAGATCTGGCCCGGCGCACATCGAGTTCAAGCCATGTTGATGCGATCTGCCGATCTGGGCTACGGTGTCCAACTTCACGGGCCCTCATTTAGGCTGCAAAAACAAACAACGGGCCTATCAGGGCTGTCATCCTGGGCCGGCCGCGACCTTGACACACACCACCTTTCGTAAAGTGTGTGAGCCACATGTTCAAGCTTAGGCCCATCTACAACTAGCAACCAGTAAACTCTGTTCTATTTATATTTTGGATTAATTTTTCTGAGAAATCTCGGCATCAAGCTCAGCCTGTTCGCTTGCTCGTAAACGATCGTAAATTTCCAGCTGGGAACAGTGTTTTTCTCTCACACCAAACCAGCCAGCAGTAAATAATCCACGATACGATACGGCCTCCCGAACATGCCGAAGGATCATCACGAAAAGTCCTGCACGACTGCTGGTACTTCTTGAGGCCTTCGCTTCACACTGTTCTTTTTATTGCCGAAATACAGTACAGTACTATTTTGACGAGTTTAATCCATCGTCTATAACCAGCTAATCATAAAGCGCGGAGAACTCGTCCGGAGCAATACCCCCACCTCCGCGGCTCACGAGCACACATGGCACGCGTCACACGCGACAGAGATGACTCAGACTCGCCAATGAGGGAATACACAACAAACAAACGATGCTGTATCGCGATCGGCTGCTCCCATTTCCTTTCCTTGCTGCTGACTGCAACGGGAGCAACACAACAACGCTAGCAAACGAGCTACGCCCGCCCTATTCGCTTCGCTTATAAGTCATACTTTTTTTCCGAATAAATAGTATTTTTCTTTTGCAATAAATCAGCCAACGCCTCGTTAGCCAAACGAATAGGGCATTAGGCCACGACCGGCGACGCCAACTTCCACTGCCACTGTCCTCGCGGCGGCCCGGCGGTAAACCTGCGGTTTAATGAGCAAGCGCAATTAATAAACAGCGACGGGTTCCCGTGATCACCGGGTGGGAGATCTTGATGCCGCTCACGTGCCGCGGCCCCCGCGCGGCGGTCGCGCCAACCGGGACTCGCTCCGCCAAGGGCCAAGGCGCAGCGCAGCCGCGGCAGGCGGCGGCAGCGCAGACAAACGGCGCGGCGTCAGCCGACAGCCACAGCCTAAGGGCAGGTCAAAGCCTCGCGCCCACGTCAGTACGTCACCGTCGCGGCATCAAACCACGAGAGGGAGCACCACCAGTCCACCAGCACCAGGTGCCGCGCCGAGTCGGCCATGCCAAGCGGAGAGAGGGGACGCCCTGCCCTGCCCTGCCCGCGCGGCCCGAGCACATGGACGTGCCCGCGCCCGCGCCGCGCGAGCGACAGCGTAACGGCAGCCGCGCTCTCCTGCAGCCCTGCTGTGCCGAGGGCCGAGGCCCCTCGGCACGTGGCCCGCGCGGCTCTTTTGGCATCTTCGCCGATGCGGGGTGCGGGGGGCACTGCCGTGCCTGTGCCCTGTGCTTTGCTGCGCGGGTTGCCGCCAACTCCAGTTCGGGCCGTCCCTCTACCGCCCGCCCCGTTCGCGTGACTGATCGCGTTCCTGGGTTTCGGATCCGTGCTGCTGTTGGGAACGAAACCGAACGCCAAGCGGGGGTGGGTGGCTGCCGTGGACCGTGCTGGACTGCTGGCACTGTCGTTTGGTGGGGCCGGAAAGCGATAGTTGCACGGTGGATCAGGCCGGAGGGCTCCATTCCTGCTGGGCGAGCTGGCGATCAGGCCATGATTTGAGAACGAAAGGCGTTGGGCAAAGCCGTCCGTAGTAGGATATTTATGTATGAGGAATATTGGATGATAGCTACTGTTGCCGGCTACACCAGGATTTGTACTACAACAACTAGGAATGCATCAGGAATAATATTTAATTTAGCACACATCTCCTGTAGAACACATGCGTCTTTGGATTCAGGGAGAGTTGCCAGGTCGTCTTGTGCTTGGCGGGCCTAAAAATGGGTTAAAGAAAACGGTCTAACCAGCGGATGAGATGTATTAGGCATACTGGATGACATAGCTTTGCAAATCATAGTACTTTTAGGCTTTAGCCTCGTACTCCCTCCTTCCACGCAAGAATGCAATTCTCACTTTTCGAAAAGTCAAACAGTTTAAATTTTAACTAAATTTATATAAAAAAATACTAACATTTATGATACAAAATAAGTATCATTAGATTAGTTATAAGATATATTTTTATAATAAATTTATTTGGGGACATAAATATTAATATTATTAACTATAAACTTAGTTAAACTTTAGTCAATTTGACCACCATACATTTCATAATTGTATTCTTTTGTGGACAGATGTAGTATTTCACTAGTGTAGAGGAGTTAGTGCTCCTGCGTCCCTGCGTGGAATACTTCAGGTTTTGAGAAAAGTAGTCATTCTAGATCGTACTCGGTGGCATACAAAGAGATTCAGGGAAGGCAATAAAATTTTGGTGGAGGCGGCGAGAGTTGATGTTGGAGCAGCAAGGCGAATGTGAGCGATGAGAGCATCGATAGGTAGAGTGATAGGTGAAGCTTGTGCGGCGGCAGCATGGAGGAAGCTACACGGTAGATTCTGGTGGCAGCTGACCTGACGGCAGCATGATGGTAGGCAAACTACTTATGACGACCGTCTTAAAAAAAAAAGCAGGCAGCTAAAGCGTAACATCTCCTTAGTTTCAGGGTTTCAGCAAGCTTATAGTGTATCCATTGGATAAAAACCGACCAAAATTTCTGCATTTCGAAGACCACAGCTCTGATAGAAATGTGGAACAATATGTCTCAGCCCTCAAATCATGGAAATAGTTAAATAGATTGGCACGAATTGACAGCAAATCCTACTAGCACCACTAAACAGCAGCAACTAAATTCCAAAAATCAAATGCCCATCGCATTCACCTACTCCCAACCTTTTGGCACCACATGCGCGTACTACGTGAAAGATGAAACTTGCAAGTGCGCGTTACGAGGCGAAAATTTCAATCACAGGGAGCTTAAACCTGCAAGCGCGCTAATTGCGAGGTGAAAAAACATCATCGACTGTGTAGTAGCTGTCCAAATCCGCCATATGCCTCGGTTTCCAACCGTGCCCCTCCTTTCTACTTGTACTAAACGCGAAACCCTTTCCCTTTTGCAAACCGTGTAAAACAAAAGCCAGAGCATCATCGGATCGAAATGCGCAACCTTTTTCTTTGAAAAAATAAAACCAGCGGCGGCTTCCATTGTTCAAGTTCGTGAATGAACGTGAACCAGGAACACGGTTCCAGCGGATGAGTTTTTCGAGCAATCAGGCACGGAAAAAAGCACGGAGGCTCGTGGGCGTTGTTCGCCTCTCTCCTCCCGACATCCCACCCCGCCTCTTTTGATCTTTTCCTTTGCTTGCCCGCCTGCGCTCTCACGTCAAACGGTTTCCCCCTCCGCCTCCGCTCGGCCTCTCTCTCCTCCGGCCTCCGCTTTATCTTTTCCTCGGCCCTGCCTGCTTTTTACCATTTCCGCCCGTCGCCTTCCACCTCTCGCACTCGGCACTCCCTCCGTCCCTCCCTTTCACTCCAACTCAAGCGCAGCGCCGCACCGTACGTCCCCGACTCTCCCCTTCTTCTACTCCACTCCTCGCCGCACTCTCCATGCCCTCCTCGTGAAGCGAAAACCAATTCCTTTTTGCTATATTACTAGCCCTCCTTAGTCCGGCGGCGGCGGCGGCGGCATTGCGAGATATGGAGAAGGAGAGGAAGCAGGGGTTCTTCGCCGCGCTCAAGGACGAGGTCGTACGGGGGCTGTCGCCGGCGAGGTCCAGAGGCAAGTCCCCGGCGCCGCCGCGGAGCGCGTCGCCGGCGAGGATGCTGATCCCGCGCAGGCGCAAGGCGCCCGCAGCTCCGCCGCCGCCGCCTGAGAAGGTGCTGCAGCAGTACCTCGGGGAGCAGCTCGTGGCCCGCTCGGGCAGCCTGCGCCCCGGCGGGGAGGCACTGGCGCCGCTCATCGAGGGGCCCGACGCCGAGCGCCTCGCCGTTGGCGACCCCGACGCCGAGGACTCCGGCCGCCGCGAGGGGTTCGGGCACTGGGTCCGCGGCCACCTGACGCGCACGCCGTCCATGGCCTCCTCTGCCGCAGCTGCTGGTGATGGTCCCGGCGGGTCCAGCGGCTCGTTCCGGCGCTCCGACCTGCGCCTCCTCCTCGGCGTCATGGGCGCGCCGCTCGCGCCCATCCCGTCCAAGCTGGCCGAGCCGCTGCCCCTCCTCTCCATCAAGGGAACCCCCATTGTACGTCCACATCTTGCCTAGCATTTGATTTCGTTTGGTGGTGTTGCTTGGCTTCTACGAGATGCGGTCTGTGCCCGTGCATCCGGTACCCTTGGCTGACCGTCCTGAGGTAATGCAGGAGTCGTCGTCCGCGCAGTACATCCTGCATCAGTACACGGCGGCGTCCGGTGGCTACAGGCTGCTGCAGTCAGTGCGGAACGCGTACGCCATGGGCAAGGTGCGGATGGTGGCGTCCGAGTTCGAGACGGCGACGCGCGTCGTGAAGAACCGCGGGCCCAGCGGCCGCGGTGCCGCCGCCGTGGAGCAGGGCGGCTTCGTGCTGTGGCAGATGGCCCCCGACATGTGGTACGTGGAGCTCGCCGTCGGCGGCAGCAAGGTCCATGCCGGCTCCAATGGCCGCCTCGTCTGGCGCCACACCCCCTGGCTCGGCGCCCACGCCGCCAAGGGGCCCGTCCGCCCCCTCCGCCGCGTCCTCCAGGTCTGTCCCAGTGGGTTTTTTTTCCGACGCCTCGTCTGATCTCTCTCTCCGCTTATCCGAGCAAATCACCTTACGATACGATGTTTTCCTTTGCGGCTGGCAATGGCAATGGCAATGCAGGGCCTGGATCCGCTGACGACGGCGGGGCTGTTCGCGGAGGCGCGGTGCGTGGGCGAGAAGAAGGTGAACGGCGAGGACTGCTTCATCCTGAAGCTGACCGCCGACCCACAGACGCTGAAGCTGCGCAGCGAGGGTCCGGCGGAGATCATCCGGCACGTGCTGTTCGGCTACTTCAGCCAACGCACGGGGCTGATCGTGCACATCGAGGACTCGCACCTGACCCGCATCCAGCCGCACGCCGGCGGGGACGCCGTGTACTGGGAGACCACCATCAGCTCCGCCCTGGAGGACTACCGCGCCGTGGACGGCATCATGATCGCGCACTCGGGCCGCTCCGCGGTGACCCTGTTCCGGTTCGGCGAGGCCGCCATGAGCCACACCAAGACGCGCATGGAGGAGGCCTGGAGCATCGAGGAGGTGGCGTTCAACGTGCCCGGCCTGTCCGTCGACTGCTTCATCCCGCCGGCCGACATCCGGTCCGGCTCCGTCGGCGAGGCCTGCGAGTTGCCGCCGTCCCAGTCCCACGGCGAGCGCGCCAAGACCGGCGCCGTGCACCCCTCGCGCGTGGCCGCCGTGGAGCGCGCCCACGCCCACGGCGCCAGTGCCGGCGCCGGCGCCGCCGGCCGTGGAGAGAAGATCATGTGGAGAGTGGAAGTGTGAGGAATGGCATTGGCATGCATCAGTTAGCAGCAGCGGCAGAGAGAATTGAACCGAGTCTAATCTGTCCATACTAGTAGAGTTTAATTTTCGCCAGCCCAGTCATGAATCAATCAATCGACACCCTGATTGCCTAGCCTGTTTGTTTGGCCGTGGCATAGTAAATTTTCAGTTCGAATATTATTTTTTTCTCACACAAACTAGTTAGCAGTACCTTTTCACGAACCAACGACGATACGAACTGGTCAACCGAACAGGTTGCTGATCGTTTCTAGGGCTTATAAGCCGGCGGATGCTGTTTTGTTGTTAGAAGAAAAAAATATTGTATTATGACTAATAAACATGACATATAAGATCTAGTGAATCACTAACCTGTTGCATCCTAGTAGAGCTGGTTTGTTAGTCATCAGACGGCGGTGAGGTCACAAGCGACGGCGAACACGAAACTCAACTGACGCGAGAACACTTGGACACGGAAGGTTTTGATGCTGCCAGAGAAGCGCAACGTTTTCTGTTCTTAGCTTTCATATTTATTGCAAAGTACAGCAGAGCAGCAAGATCACAGCGCGCCCATGTCGCGGGAGTTCAGCGTGTCCATCCCCACGCTCCGCAACGCCGGCCATGCCTGCATGCTCAGGCTCGTGGGCGAGCGAGTCTTGCGCCACGGCCTCCTACGCGCGCAACAGCCACAACTCGACGCTCGCGCGCATGCATCAACTGAAAACATAAACATGCAGTCCTATCTAACATGCATAAGATTACTAACAAAATCTCCTCCTAATTCTTGTGCATGTGCTTTATATCAATGACCCCTATCTTAGAGCGCAACCAGCAGAAGCGTTCCTTGCCAAGGGCCTTCGTTAGCATGTCCGCCAGCTGCTCTGCTGTCCCGATGGACTCAAGTCGCACCCGGTCCTCCTCGACGCACTCTCTGATGTAGTGGTACCTGACATCTATGTGTTTGCTGCAGTCGTGGAACACCGGGTTCTTGTTCAGTGCAATGGCAGACTGATTATCGATCTTCAGTGTGGTTGCGTTGGTCTTCTCGCCCTTGAGCTCTGCAAGAAGCCGCGCTAGCCATGTTGCTTGACAGGCTCCAGTAGCTGCAGCAATATATTCAACCTCGTAGGAGGACAAAGCCACAACTCTCTATTTCTGAGATTGCCAAGTGATGAGATTGTTGCCGAGGAAGAAGAAGACTCCAGTAGTGCTCTTCCGTGTGTCTACATCGTCGGCCAGATCACTGTCACTGTAGCCGATGAGCTGTGCTTGCTTCTTCCGAGTATAATGGCAGCCAAAATGCAGGGTACCGGCAACATACCTCAACACTCATTTCACAGCTGCCATATGCTCTGTTGTCAGTGCCTCCATAAACCGACTGATGTAGCCGAATGAATACCGCCAGGTCTGGTCTTGAATTCACCGGATATCGCAGGGAGCCCACAACGCTTCTATAGAATGTAGGATTAACAGCAGCAGTAGTGCTCACCTTGCTCAATTTCAGTCGTGGCTCCATTGGAACTTGACTTGGATTACACCTGGCCATGCCTGCATTCTCCAATATCTTAGCTGCATAGGCACTCTGACTTACAGTAATGTCCGTCTCTATCTGTGCCACCTCAAGCCCGAGATAGTAGTGGAGAAGACCCAAGTCACTCATCTTGAATGTTGCCTACATTTCTGCCTTGAACACATCGATGCCAGCTTGGTTCCCTCTAGTGATCACAAGATCATCCACATAAACCTCCACGACAAGACGGCGACAACATTCACCGTAGAGGTAGACAGCATGCTCAGAAGAACTCCTTTGGAAGCTGAGGTTGATCAGCGACTCATCCAGCTTGGAGTACCAGGCGCGCGGGGCTTGACGGAGTCCATAGAGAGCTTTGACGAGGTGGAGTACCTTGCGTTCATGCCCCTTGCACAAAACCTGGGGGCTGCTCAACGTACACCTCTTCCTAGAGAATGCCATTTAGGAACACGGAGTTGACGTCCATGTGATGCACCGCCCAGCCTTCAGAGGCGGCATGGGCGAGCAACAGTTGGATGGACTCATGTCGTGCGACCGGAGCGAAGACTTCATTGAAATCAACTCCTTGGCGCTGGACATATCCTTTGGCGACGAGCCAGGCCTTGTGCTTGGTGATGACCCCAGCTGCGTACTTCTTGGTCCTATAGACCCACTTGAGGCCGATCGGCCTCGTGTGCGACGGCGGCTCGACCAGCTCCTAGGTGCCGCTCACCTTGATGGACGTCATCTCGTCCAGCATCGTGTGGCGCCAGCACTCGTGGTGCAGTGCCTCCTCGAACGATGTCGGCTCAGCGTCCCTCGCCAGCAGCAGTCGCTCCTCCAGGTCCCGTTCAGCGAGCCTGGGCGGCGTAGCCTGCCCAAGCACGTTGTCGATGTGGCGGAACCAGAGTGGCACGTCGTCGTCGTGGTTGTTGACCAGCTGCTCGCTGGCTCCAGCACTTGGTGGCGAGGCAAACTCGATGCCTTGGTGCGCCTATAGGCTTGGTGTCGTGGACGTAGAGCCGGCTGCAGGTGAGCTCGCCATGGACCATGTCATGGCCAGTGGCGGCGAGGATGTTGACAATGCTGGTGAGGACGAACTCGACGTAGAGGGCGATGCCGGTGTACGCATCGTCATTGTACTAGTGGTGGTGATCACGGTGGGCTCCGCTGGTGCGGGCTCCTCGATGATGAAGTCCGCGGGCTTGCTGTCGTGCTCAGCGGGCCATGCCCATTGTGCAGGCTCATCGAAGATGACATCACGGCTGATGTCGACGCGCCGGGTCGTGGGGTTGTAGACGTGATACGCCTTGGAGCCCGACTTTGTAAGGTCAAGATGACGACTAGAGGGGGGGTGAATAGTCATTTTTAAAACTTAATCGCGTCGGCTAATCGAAACAAGTGCGGAATTAAAATTATCGGTCTAGCAAAGACTACACCCTCTATCTATGTTCTCTAGTACCTTGCAGAGATCATAATTAAGCAACAAAGGTGCCGGGCTAGCTAGAGCTCACCTAACCAATTCTAGGAGCAAGGTCACACAAACCTATGCCACTAGTATTTTAAGCAATGAGGGAGCTCCTACATATGCTAGTAAGCAAAAGCACAAAACCAACTAAGCTCACTAGCAATGCTCAATAACAAGGCAACCCATGCCAAATTAGAGAGCGCAAATACTTAGCTACACAAACTAAGTAATATGACTAACAAGGTCACATAATCCAAATTAGCCACGCAAGGGAGCTACTTCTATGCTACACAAGCAAGAAGGTAACTAGTAAGCTACATAAGCAAACTAATCACAAGAGCAACTACACAAGCACAATGTATATGAAAGTAATTATAAGCTTGTGTAACGAGGATGCAAACCAACGGGAAGAACAAAGTTGACACGATGATTTTTCTTCCAAGGTTCACGTGCTTGCCAACACGCTAGTCCCCATTGTGTCGACCGTTCACTTGGAGGTTCACGCGCTGATTGGCATCACCCCTCGGTGTTACACTGTACAATTTTTGCTAAAACATTGCAAATGCATCATGTTTATATGATAGTGTATGAATTATAGAGTGTAAATCAATTTCTGTGGCTCGAAACGTTCATCGGAAACGTGAAACGAATGTTATGTTTCATGTCGCATTATATCACTTAGGGTTCTAAATGAATTTTTATTGAACAGAAATTCTATAGAACGCGTATGCAGCACTTTAATAACGTTAGTAGTACTAGCTTCATAGGCGATGGGGAAATACTTGCGGTCGAGAATGGGATTCGCTAGCTAGCATACTTGTTAGCATGGAAATCGAATTCGACGCGAAACCAATAAGGACTTGGTCAATTTTCGTAAATCGGAAAATGGTTCGACGAAGCTAAGTTCGACAATTTTTGTAGGAAATTTGGGTTAAGCGATGGTAGGGTATTAGGGCTTGTTTCAGTAGCTTGACATGCCATCTTGAGCGTAAAATAGTTGGTTTAGCGATCGAATCCTTGAGGTGAGTTTTCGGGATGCTTTAAAAAGCGTGCACGACACGGTTTCTACATCTGGGCGTGGTCACCGTGCTCGGCCCTCGGCGCTGCCGCGCCGGCCGTTGACGCGCACACACTCGCACGCCGTACGCGCACCACTGCGCTGACCAGGCCTACCGCTGGCTCCGCGCTGTGGGCCACTGTCACCCGTTGCCATACCCTGGCTCACGCCCACGCTCGCACACGCACGTGCCCAGCCGCGCGGACCCGCACCACCATTGCCGCGTACTGGCCTCTCAGCCACCACCGCCATTGCCGTGGGTCCACTGCTCTGGCTAGCCCGCTGTAGTCGCTTCGCCGTGTCGCTGACCCCGCGCGTCGCGCCACTACGCTGCTACTGGCCTTGGCCGTTTGCGCGATGTCACCGCGTGCGCTCTGCCACGCCGTCGCGTCCGCCTACCGCCCTACCGCCTCGCGCTCGTCTGTGTGGTGCCATGAGAGCATGGCCACATTTGGCTTTGCCCGCACATCGCCTTGCTTGGTCTGCCTTGCCGTCATGTCGGCGCTCGACGACGCTGCGCTGCTGTCTCCTCTGACCGGCGCCATGCCACTATGGCGCGTAGAGCCGAGCCGCCATCGACGATTTGCAAATTGTGGCCGTGCAGCCCACCGTCCTGAACGCGTTGGCCATTTCCCCCTCGCCTATAGACGTATGAGATTGAGCACCGAAGTGACAGCCACGTCCCGCCACGGTAGCGACGAGCCACGCCATGCCTATCTCCCCTGTTCTCTGGCGTCGTGGTTGCCGTACCCGCTTCTCAAAATTCACCGCAGTGGAGCCACCTCAATCTAATTAACCCCGTCATCGGCTCCGCTGAGTAACCAGCCACCCACCCGACCCCACCATGCAGCGAGCCTCGCCGTGCCATGCCCTAATTTTGAGCTACCGTTCCACCGGGTCAATAAGACCATGTCGGTCTGCGTCGAAGACAAGCACCCTATCTAGTGCAGCTCGTGCTAATTCCTTGC